TAAATATATTTAATCATAAATTTTAATCTATTAAACTAATTAACAAAGGTTATATTAATTTGCTCCAAATAAATTACTCTAACCATGTTTTGGTGACGCATCAGTGCCACATAGGAGTAGAAGAGTAAGAATGACTTCTAATTTTCAATTATCAATATTCCCATGCTCTATAAGGCCACAACCATGCAGCAATATACAGCTTCTAGGCTACTTAGGATAGAACTGCTTTTACTAAGCTGTTACTTTGCCTGAATTTTTAACCTTTACAACTTATTAGCATTAAAAATTATTTATCCTAGTAGGAACAACCAATAATAAATGAGTTTAATCAAATGTCTCAAAAAATGCAATTCACCCACTAAGGTATAATCTGAAAGCAAGTTGTTCCAGGAATTTGATAAACTCACCTCCACAATAAGTCAGACATTAGCATAGATACTGTTGTTTGTCCCCTCCTGAAACTTCTACAAACGGATCAGCAATTCTAATGTGCTCGACATTTATCCCCAGCAGTTATGTAAGGTTAAAGATGTTACAGAATCGTTGATTACTCAACTCTACTGATACTTGCCATAAAAAAAAAAAAAAGGATTTTTTTCCCCTAAAATGATTGAAAGCAAAAAGGTTGTCTTTAGTGCAGACCTTTGCTTTCATGGTCCTTGTTTTTTCTTAATTAATTAATTTTGAAGTTTTTCATTGCCTCGTCTTGTATTCAAAGAGCTCAAGTTCAAGACTATTTCTAGGTTCAAGTTGGCATAACTAAAACTCCACTTGAGCTCAGATTGTCACAAGATTTTTGAACTGAATACCATCCATGATGTTCGAACTTGGCTCGTTTACAATGCAAGTTTTGAAAGGAAAGACCATATAAGCATAAATTTTATACCCTGAATGATTTAATGAACAATCATCAAGCTGAGAAGAGAAGACCAAGAGAAGTGATTGACACCAAGAATATTGCATGAAACAAATCCAGGGAGAGGAAGCAAAATCCTAAATTTTCTCAGCGCTTTAGCTCCTTTTCTTTCGTTTTAAATTTCCTAAGAAAAGGAAAGCTGAGAACTAAAAACATTCTATTCCAGCATTTAACAATTAATTTTTTAACTTTAGACATTCAGTCATTGTGTTCATAAAAGAAAAGAACAAATTTTCCTAGAGTGGCTTAAATTTCATTGAATTTGAAACAAGTTCTACAATTGTTATTTCTCAGTAACAAAATCAAAGCATATATGAGCCACAATTTCTTCAAAGAAGGAAACAATAAACTCAGTGTTCT